CCAACGCTTTTCTGTCTTGTGAACCTTGCCGCAATGTGGCCACCAGATGAGATACCATATAATGTACGCAGCGTTGTTGCTAAGTGGGAGGGGCTAATAACGTTGGGGGGAGACTTGTAAATGCTGTCAGCATACCAAATCCTGCAAACTGCATTGCTTACTTGTGAATACCGGTCACCTTGTCAATACCGTGTTATCACCTGTCTAGCACCCTGTAAGCTTATCTCAGACTGGTCAAAATCACTGGTAGTGGTTTGAAAAAAAAACATGAAGTAGTGCTAGTTCCATCTCCCCAGGCTTGACAGGTTTACAGGGTATTCGACAGGAATTTACAAGAATTGCAGGATGAGGCCTGATTTCGAAAAGACAACAGAAAAGGCAAAATCAAAAGCACTCATTAGAGGAGCTTACAGGTGTGGCCCACCCCAAGCTACTAGCGCCTTTTTGTCACCTGAAGCATATGAGCATATGAGCTACCATAGAGAAATCATCACTGTGTCCTCGCCGTCCGCGGTGTAAACCTGCGCCTATAAGAGGGAACGATTTGTACTCTGCTTGTTAGTTTCATTTACTGTAATGGCTGTATTTACTGTAGCTAATGTTTCTCAGTCAGGTTTCGTGTGCGGTTATAATTGTTGGAGGTAACTCTATGGGAAAAAAATGAAAAAGAAGTGTTCTATTATTTAATGGCAACATTAAGTTTCCAAGGCTTGATTGAGGGTGACTTGCTCGATGGAAAATATCATTGCCGAACAAAAACTAGTTCGTTGAGATCATCTCCTTTCTCTTCACATATGCATTTTCTCTGTGGTTACACTCTGGAGTCCTCTTTGAGACAGGAAAGGTGGGATCGTAACTAGAGCATTTGAACGAGAGAGCAGAAACAGCTGCCCGCGAACCCCCGAAGCACCAGGGCATGTTAACAATGGAAGGTTTTGCATCATGTTCACTAGTGTCCAGCTTCTGTCTTCGTATTTGCATCATGTGTCTGGCCCTATTGCATTTACCGTAATAGTCACTTACTTTATCACTATAGTAACCGATTGCGATTAGGACTACTCTGTGATTGTTTCAAACCCCATCAGTGTGGTATTTATCAGAGTAAGATTCTCACTATCAGAACAATTATTTAACCAATCAAGGGCGAGAGTGCGACTCCCTACGAAGACGACTCTCCCGGAAGCAACGATGATGTTCTGAATGGTTCGGAAGAGCCAACACCATTGGCAGTGACCGAGTCAGAGACGGCAAGTCGCAGTCTGGAGCCACAGACGATGGACCAGCAGTCTTCCTCAACGGGTACCACAATTCCAATTGAACGCCTACCGATTCAACGAAGGTTCAACTATGTTCCTGTGAATACGGTGAATTTTGCGCTCCCGGAAGGCTACTCGACTTCTCGTGAAGACATAAAATTCCTCGGTTCTGGTGCGTATGGGAACGTGATGTAAGTTTATTGTTTAAATTACTTTGATGCATAAGAGTTGATCTATTTTCAGGCACTAGTCAACTATTACTACCCCAATGTTCTGGAATCAGGCTCCTTTTTCTACAGAATTCTTTGTACGAGGGTAGATTTGGCTGGAAACTTGTCCCAGGGAAGTCTGACCTGGTGAACATGAATATCTCATTCGGTGGCCCGACAATCCCTGGCGCCTTCGCCGAAATATATTAAATCACCTCATCCGGTGAGAACTTGTCCGTAGAGGTGCTTTGACCTCCTGAATAAGAATATCACATGTGCATGGGGCGCCACTGAAGCTAAGGGTGGAGGAAACATAGACAACGATGTGAGAGCTGAGCCTGCTGCGCTTGTCTGCACTCTTCCAGCGCGATGGTGGTCTCTTCCTCTGCAAAAGGGGAGCTTAGCAAAGAGAAGGATCATGCGACCACGAAAGGAACTGTTTCGTCTGGCCATGTTTCTTTAACTGCCCTAGCACAAAACTGGGCACAAAACAACGGGTGGGGTCCGGGTACGCGCGTCGGGGTCAAAAGGAGCACCTGATGGCGTGCCTTTGACGCGGACGGTTTACGATGTCGCGCGAATTACTTACTTACCTGGATACCTGGACGCTTGTTTTCAGCCGGTTCTCTTCAGCGACGAGCACACGCTTCCCTCCATTGTTTGCGATCTTGAGCGGTTTGGATCCAGTGTTGGTCTGCAGCTTCTTTAGTTGCTTCAAGGAGTCTCTCCATCGGGTTGCAGAGCGGCCAGCCTTGCGCTTCGCGTCTCTCGGATAGCCAGAGTGTGATGCGAGTGGTCCACCGATCGTCCGTACGTCTGACCACATGTCCGGCCCATCTCTTCTTTGCATTCCACACGTATTCTGCATCGTGGATGCCTGACATTGAGCGCATGTCTGTACTGCGCAGATTGCGACATCTCTGCTCACGGCGGTTGATATTCAGCAGGGTCCGTTCCAATGCTCGTTGGGCACGTGTCAACATCAGCGTGGACGCCTTGTTCTCTGCCCACGTCTCGGATGCGTAACAAAGTGCAGGCAGTACTGTAGAGTCGAATAGAGCAGCTCGTTTTCCTGACCGACTCTGTTCTCGCTTCCGCCGCTTCCTTCAGTCGAGTATTCTTGTAACGCTGAATCGACTCCTTCACTGCGATGCGGCACGCTTTGTTGATCACGGCGCGCTCCAATGGTGTTGATGCAGGGTTACGATGGACGACAGCGCGTTGCTGCAGAAGTGCGCGAGCCTTGTCGTCAATCCTGCCTTTCGAATCCGTCCTTGTTGTGATAGCCGATGCCATAGCGCAATGTAGAAGTCCTTCTATGAGCATGGTATAGTCTTGCGACAAGTCTTGCGCCTCCTGCCACGTGTAGTGAGCAGCGGCCGCCTCCATGACGTTGGCAGCCGTATGGGTGGAGGTCGGAAGAGTCGCGTCTTCGGATTCTCGCTCGGAGACGAATTTTTGCTCTGACCAGCCTATGGTCGCTCCCAGTGCGGAATGCATCCACCACGCTGACGTCGAGCAGACTCCACTTCCTGTTAGTGAGAACGTGGTCGATTTCGCTGTGAGTCGTGGCATTCGGACTCTCCCACGTCCATCGCCGATCCTCTTTTTTCGTGAAGAAGCTGTTTCCGTGAAAGAGATTGCATTGCTCTAAGAGGTCCATCAAACGTTCGACGTTCTGGTTTGTTTCTCCGGTTCCCAATGCGCGCTGTCGCTGGCATTTCCTCATGGATGACTGCGTTAAAGTCACCGACAACATATTTGTAGTAAGGACCGTTCCCTTTTTATCATCTCCTCCAATTCCTTGTAGAACGCGTCCTTTTCTTCGTCCGTAGCTGCTGACGTCGGTGCATAGCAGTTGATAATACTAACGAAAGTGCGCTTGTCGATGCGTAGACGTAGGATGGCCAGTCGCGGGCCGATCACTTCGACTGAATCGACCATGTACTCGAGCCGATGGTGGACGAGGAATCCAACACCACCGACATTTCTTCCGCTCAGTTTGGCTCCGAGAACAATTAGGTGCCATTGGAGAGCAATGACATCGAAACGGAGTATTTTGGTGGCCTCCACTAATGTGGTTTGGTCGGTCGAGGCAATGGTGCGACAGTTGTACGTGCAGACTCGTAGACCCCATGCCTCGAAAGCCTTTCGTCCTGTGCACTCCAAATCCTGCGGCGGTTTTTGTCTGCAGGTCCCTTCAGGTCGCCGTTTGCTCCAGTGCACGTAGAGCTCGTGCTTCTTCTGTGCCGCTCCGGACCCTCTGTGTGCGTGTTGTAGCTTGTTTGCTTACCGATCCTCGGCAGCTAACCCTTTGGTACGCCCACTGTTGGCGGGGATATTCCCGTTTTGCCCTCTCACCACTTCGAGGCCAGATTTGAGGAGGTTCGCGAGAGTTAAATAAGATATTCGTAATCAGGGCGGCAAGTAACCCAGTCTACAGAATTACACTGACTTCGGTCGGAAAAGTGGAGGCGCCACCTTCGCCGGATCCAGAAACTAATACGGTATACGTGGTCAAGACACCAAATACCTCCAGTATGCGCGTAAGTTTACATCGAATTTGGTGTAGTAGGTGGTAGCGCCAGCGTCAGGAAATAACGCGCTATGGGTAGAGTTTCAGAGAAAAAAATTTAAGTATTTGGGGTATCAATAGTTGAGTAGTACCTTTTTTTGACCAATGCCCTTCAAATCCTCGCTGTAGAAGGCACTTTCTACGAAAAGGGCACTACGATAAGCAAACGTGAATGTAGGGTTGATACAACTGATAAGCCGGCGTGGTTGCACCGTACAAAGAATGAGGTTTTTATTTTTAGCAAAACTACTGTCAAGTGTCGCGATGGAGCTATCCGTGAAGTCGCGGTGAAGAAGTTCAGAGATCCCTTCTCGGATAATGCTCAGGTTAGTTTCCAGAGTTCGTCTGCAAGAGCTTTTAAAGGAATTTGCCTACAGTCAGGCACAATATTGCAGTACTTTACGGAATTTCTAAACCCCTTTATTTACGATGTCGTTTTTCATTCAGCTGCAAGTATATTTGATTAGAGTAATGGGCTTTTTCTGGCGCTGATACTACTACAGCGTCTCTGGGGGCTTTAGGTTTCGAGAAAACTCTTCTATCGTGGTTTATTTCTGTTTCGGTGTTAGTTTTATTTTGCGACCCTTTTGTTCTCAAAGATGTGGCTAGAAATCCATCAAAGTTCATCCCGTGATGAGTTCCTAAAAATATTACATTTGCTCGACGCGAGGAGGAATTTTTTTCGTGATAGAGGGGTCCCACAACTCCACTTCCTTGTCAGGAATACAGCTTAGTCTTAAATTTGGTCAAAGGGTTAGTGAAACTGAATAGCGCTCTTACTTCAACCACATGAGGTCAGGTGCATATTGTCGTTCTGTGACGCTCTTCCTCATTCGTAGAGCTTGTGTACGGTAGCCCTGCTACGTTTTCCCGCCAGTAATTTGTTTCTCCCACTCAAATCGCTTAGATTTAGGAAGAGCGTCACAGAATGGACTCATCAACGGAAAATTTCAGGCGCGGATGATTTATCGGGAGATTAAACTTTTACAAATCATGCGACACGATGGAGTAATCCGGGCCATTGACCTTTATACACCTAACAACGTGGAGCATGAATTCAAGGAGCTGTAAGTTAAAAGTTCTCTTATTTGTAAGTATCAAGTGCGTAACCCACATCCTAAGGTGCTCCATTTACTCAGCTACACTTGGTTGCTAGCGTGGTGGTTCAGAAGGTAAAAAAATAGGCAAAACGGTCATGCAAGCTGCTCTGTGAACTGGATTGGGCGAACCACGTGTTTATGAGGGTTTTCGTCGGCGCAGTTCGGCTTGGGGAGTGGTTACCAAATGGTAAGCAGCTAAGCCCTTACAAGGCGTTTGTGAAAACCCGAAAACCCGTAAATTGCAGTGAGCGAAGCAGCTCACTCGTACCATTTTGCTGCCTTCCAGAATTCACTGATATCGCCAAAATGAGACCTGTTATTTATTTCAAAGGACAGGTTGTTTGGCGCGGGCACTTCCTGCCAGCGTAATTGGTGAAAGGGCTGCGAAAAGATGTTTACTACATTAAACTTAACCCTCCCACCAAAGACACTGGCGACAACCGCCCGTCTCCGGCAATTGTCCTCACCGGCCTAAAAACAAAAGGAACTCGCGAAAGTGCGAAATGTTCCCTCCAAGCCGAAGAGCAACGTTTTTACCTTTTTCTAAAGAAGTAGCTCGTTTGTTTCAGATATGTTGTCACTGGATACGCTGGTGATAGTATTGTAAAAATATTGCATGATCAAAAAGTTACTGGAAGAGTTCACATCACTCCTGAGCACGTACCTTTCATTATTTATCAACTTCTGAGGGTTTTAAAATATATACATTCTGCAAATGTGAGCTTCTATATTTGGAAACATTGTGGTAATTCACAGCTCTGAATACTTTTTCCTTTTGCAGATTATTCACAGGGACCTAAAACCAGGAAATCTAGCCTTAACATGTGATAGTGACCTTACCGTATTGGATTTTGGTAATGGCACGTTCATTGGAACGTACTGATACTTCACTCACGCAATATGTAATGACAAGATGGTATCGTAGTCCAGAAGTAATTTATTGGAATATTGATGGCTACAATGAACAAGGTTAGCATTTCACTCCGATGCTCCATCATAAGGTTCAAGTTCACAATCCGCGATTACGGGTAGATTGAATCCCTACCGCTAACAGGTACCCATTCGCCTCTATCATTAAAAACACAGTGACCAGTTGGGCCGGAGGGGAGGGGCGAAGGAAAGGAGGTGTCAGAAGAGGCGGAAAGGACTGACTGACTGACTGCTCCACCAGTTGTGATCGGTTATTGGTCTGTTTGAGTGGCAGCCAGTGGTGGAAACGGGTGAGTGACGTTGCCTCCTTGAAACCGCGCCGACCGATGATATCAATTGTAGCTGTGGTGCTACACCTTAGCAAGTGGAAGTGCTATTGATGGTCTTTCTAGCTTGGATATGATTGTGGCTTTTCCAGTCCGGCCGCCAACAATATATCCCAACAATAACCTTCAGTATTGGGAGCTCCCCCTCCTGCGCTGTGGGTCTCTGGTTCATGCGAATAGCACCTCCATTTCCCTATCAGGGGCATGCTCGTTCAATTCTCGAAACCATGGGACTGCATCTGGAAAGTCTTCGACTGTACCTTCAGTTCTTTTCTTATAATTCAACTAACACCTTTATGTTTGAACCTCCTACGATGCCCACATTTTTCAGCGGAGTGCATCTTTCACTTCGCTCTCTGCTTCAGTTATTTGTAATTACGCTTAATAACGAAAACGATTTGTAATTACGCTAGTAACGAAAACGGTTTGCTACATGTGATGTAGTTTAAAGTCGAAGGGTTTTGTGCTGTGTACAGGCTGGTAGTCAAGAGTGGCGCTGTGTCCAAACATGATTTTCGCACAAGAATGCTGATGCGGAAGTCAAACCTTAGGCGGGGCTCGAACCCGCACCACGCTCTCCGGGTGAATGTGCTATACTTAGAGGACCATTTCCGCGATCAAGTGTTACAGCTGGTTGGTGCTCAGTCATGAATCAGTGGCCGGTAAGTAGCTCCGCAGTAGGAAAAGAGACGAAAAAAACCTCGGGAACGCTAGGGAACACCCTAGGCAGAGATTCTCCGCTCAGCAGTAGCCCTACTGCTGAGCGGAGATCTCTGCCTAGGGTGTTCCCTAGCGTCTTGGATGAGTATGTCGGACATGGAGGACTAGCGCATTTATTCCCACAACGTCCGCGCGGCGCTTCTGGCATTCTGCCATCTTTGATGATCCGCGCTCTCCATAACGGGAGCGGAAAGCTTGAGTCGTGGGATCCGTGGCGTGAATGCCAGGCAACTGGCCAAGCGATGCGATTTTCGTGTTTGGAGGATGAAGGTCGATAAAAACCTCGTTGAAATCGCGCTTGCGAAGAGTATGGAAGACGAACTACCTGCTCTTCAGTTCATGTCCTTCCCATCGCTTGCAGAGTATGAAACTCAAGAAAGTTTGCTGCTCCTTTGTTCACATCCTAATAATTATCGCGCTTGCATGGACTATGAAACTCTAAAACAGCCTAAGTCGTCTTCAGTTTATGTCCAAAAGCACGAAGTTTCTTAATCGTTATGCAAAGCTCGGAACACCAAAGATGGCATGGTGCCAGAAGCGCCGCACGCGACATGTGCCGCGCGGATGATGTAGGAATTGAAGCTTGTGAGTCGTCTCGTGCAGCTAGAGTACTATGTTGCACGCTCACGTGTCTACGACTGCTTTATCTCGCCGTTTTGTGAGACGAAAGTGGTACGTTCTCAGTGAACGTGTACAACAATTTCAAAGGCACGGTTAAGTCATCAGGGCAGTTCTTATCCTCTTGCTTTTATGCCATAGCCTCACTGCGCTCACACATAGGGCCACGTATAGGGCTTAGGCATAAGTACCGTCAAGCTGAGAGGGTAAGAGCGGCCCTGGTGGCTCAATGGATAGCGCACTCGCGGGTGGGGCGAGTTCCGATCTCACCCTTTTTTTGTCATAACTCAGCATTCTTGAACTTTCGGAGCGCGAGCTGTGGCGTTAAATACCAATCTCCATAAGTCTTCTTTGTGATGCATATAATGAAACTCTTTCCAGTCTTTTATTCCATTGACAACGTTTCGGGCCGTAAGCCCTTCTTCAGGTCTACAAACATCTTTCATATCGCTTACACCAACATCATCTAATTACTACACATACATAACAGAAATCCAAAAGAGGGAACATTCAATTAACAACTGACCGGATACTTATGGAAGAGGAGGGTCTGGGGTAGGGTGCGGGAGTTTGCTGCAAAATGGTCTTGGATGTGAATGGTGGTACAGAACATTGACTCACCTCCCCAGCTGTCCTTCCGTCTGGAAATGGGACAGCTAGATTGGTGAAGCAGGGATGAGATGGTGATAGCTGATACCCTGTCATTTGTCATATGTCACGTATCACCAGTTATGTCACATCATGGTGCAGCAATCAGCTCCATTGTCCTTCTTAGCTCCTCCCTGTTGTTAATCGGTGGATTCCTCCTTCGAATTTTTAGCGCTTCTTTGATCTTCCTCTCTACCGGGTCACTGTGACTCAGCTGGTGATACGTGACATATGACAAATGACAGGGTATCAGCTATCACCATCTCATCCCTGCTTCACCAATCTAGCTGTCCCATTTCCAGACGGAAGGACAGCTGGGGAGGTGAGTCAATGTTCCGTACCACCATTCATTACATCCAAGACCATTTTGCAGCAAACTCCCGCACCCACTCCTACCCCAGACCCTCCCTTCCATAAGTATCCGGTCAGTTGTTAATTGAATGTTCCCTCTTTTGGATTTCTTGTTATGTATGTGTAGTAATTAGATGATGTTGGTGTAAGCGATATGAAAGATGTTTGTAGACCTGAAGAAGGGCTTACGGCCCGAAACGTTGTCAATGGAATAAAGGACTGGAAAGAGTTTCATTATATGCACCACAAAGAAAACATATGAATCAATGAAACAGGAACAATCTCCAATCACCCCATATATATAAATTCGCTTTGTCTGTTTGTTTGTTTGTAAGTTTGTAAGTTTGTCTGTCCGGAAATTCGGTTCGACCTGAAGAACGACTTGGAGAGGTCCAGTCAAGGTGGGGATGGTAGGGCATGGGACAAGAAATAAAAAGCACACTTGACCTATGGGAAGCCCCGCCCACAGTGGGCGGGGCACTCGCCGAAAGTTTGGGGTTCCGCAGAAAAATGTTCATAATTCGCTTCCGGAGCAGCTTAAAGATGGGGAAAAAAGGGACTAAGGTTAGTAAGGAGTCGCCAGACTAACTGTGGCAGGTACACCCTAAATGGGCGGGGCGTACTCAAGGTGGGCGGTGCTTCTCGCAAAATTCAGTAACCCGGTTCGCGAGAGTGTTT